AAAAAAAAAACTATAGCTGTGGGTATGTTGATGTGTTAGTGATGCAGGCTGGGCTCAGTCTCTTTTTTGTAAATTTTTTTTTATTGTATAAAATATGTTTAACATCAAATATGCCATTTTAAACCATTTTTAAGTGTACAATTTGTTGGCATGAATTACATTCACACTGCTGTGCAACCATCACCATTATCTGTTTCCAAAACATTTTCAATACCCACAACAGAAACTGTAGCCATCGAAACCTCTTGGTCTCTTTTAAGGTTTCCAGTTTTTACAGTCTGTGAAATTAAAGGAGGAAAGGCATTCTGGAACAGTGGGAGCTAAAAGCACACATGCTGCATGTCCCGTTTCAGTGAGCGTCTCATCACATGATGGGAACTGGGTGGCAGTGCTGTGTGAGTTATTTCCAAAGAGTAGCAACCTTGCTGGTCAGAATCAAGTTGAAAAGCACTAGTTCATTTATTTAGCAAGCATGCACTAGACACTGTGCTGGCTGCTGGTAGTTCAAGCCTTGTACTGAAGGGGCTTTGAGAGAGCTTATGCTTTAGAAATGCTGGAAGGAGGGCAGATATACATGTAAATAGTTACCAAACAGTGTGGTAAATTTTATCATTAAGTTTGCAGAGGAGACACTTGTAGCACAGAGGAATGCTTTTAGCTAAGCTGAAATGCTTTTAGCTAAGCATCCGAGAAGGCTTCAAAAATGACCTGACACCAAAGCTGAGGGAGTCTTACAGGATGAGTAAGTAGGGGCAAGTCAGAACATCAGAGTAGGAGAGGACATTCCAGGCCCAAGGAAAAGTGAGCCCCAGTCTATCTTCAAAGACAAAAATTGCAGAACAAGTCAGTTAGCATGCCTGTGCTTCTTCATCTGACTTTTCAATGTGAAATTCACCCTTGTTTGCTTAAGAGGCTTCCTGGGGGAACTAGCTGGAGCCCAGCCTGAGGTCAGTGCTATCGTTGCCCACAAGGAAAAGGCCATAGCTTGTATTAGGCTTCTGTTCTGAAAAACACCCTCATCACTGTGGCTAGTTAGGTTCCTTGCATAGTGAGGAACAGAGAGTCACCAAGGCCAGCTCAAGAGGAGCAGGTGCAACTGTGGGAGTGAGTCATAGGAACTACAGAAGGGCTGGACCACAGACAGGCTGGAACCAGAAGTTCATTTTGGCTCCAGAGCAGCTCTGCACCTTGGCAGCCACTTCTTTTGGCCCTGAGAACATCCATGTGTCTTCTGGTGTCCAGTCATTAATGTTCTCAGCTACTCCCTCTCCCTAATTATCTGTCTTTTTTGGTTCTTACACTGCCACTGACTCGTTTTCTGGTAATTGGTTTTTGCTCCCTCCTTTTCCTTCCTCAGCTTGTTTACTCATAATGCTGGCTTCTAGTAAGCCAACTTCAGTTACTTCTCTGACCTCCTTCTGTCTCATTGAACCTATTAGCTTTTGCTTCTGCTAAGTCTGACTCTCTATTTCCCAATCCCAGGAATGAAGGTCTGCTGGGCTGCCCCTGGGTCCCACCCATCCCTTCTCCAGTTAGCTGGAGCTGAAGAAGAGCTTTCTAGGTTACAGAAGTTGCCTGCCTCGGGCTGTGGGTAGGCACCACGATTGAGGTGTATAGGCTGGACTGTGACGTGTGTCTTGGTCAGTGATGCTGGAGATAGAATGGGGAAAACGTAACTTGAAAATCATTGCTCCCCGGAGATGTTCCTATGCTTTGAGCCTGCTGCTCCTACAGGTCCTGTGCTAGGGTGAAGATTTGGGGCCTCTTCCTAACCTCTCTTAAGGTGGCATTGTTGGAACATTTGGGGCCTGCTGTGTGAAACAGCAGCAGGTTGATTTAGCTGTTTTACCAGTGAACACCTCAGGAGGTGTTACTGCTAAATTTCAGAAAGTTCCAAGATTTATTCTGACTCTTAGAAGAGCATAGAGCTATTAAAATGCTGTTCAATTCCTCCGTGAGCTGTTGCTGCCTGACTTCCACCCATCACCCTACAAAGGAAGCACATATTTTTTGCTGAGAGATCTGCATGTGTCTTCCAGGTTGAAGTTCAAAAAAAGATGCAAAGTCAGATGTAACATTAAGTCACAAAGCTGTAAGCTGCCAAGAAGTAGAAGTCTTCGGGAAAGTGTCTCTCATGTGGATTTTGTCCTTCTCTGTCACTTTTCCAGGAGGGAAGCATAAAAGTGTTAATTTTGCTTACTGAGTGAGAAGTAAAAGTCACACCGTGAATTTCCATTTTGCATGTACCTGGCAATTTGAAATCTGCTGGTGACACAGGAAATTTTTAAACCGCTAAGAAATGTTTAAAGAGAGCAACCCCACAGAGTGTGTTTCTTACACTGGCACACAGTTAGGAATGAGCCAATTCTAAATACCCTAGTGAAATCAAAGGTGATTATTATCCCTGCATGTTACTTTTGGCAACTGGCTTCTACCTTCTGCCCCAGTAAAACCATTGTTAGAAATCAGTTTTTTTTTTTGAAATTATTGATGTTGGTGGATATTTTACTGAGTAACAGCTTCCCTCTTTTATGAGAAGGAAAATGTAACATTTAATTGTTCAAATAATTACACAGTCCAGAGATCTTGCTGTTACCCTAAATGTATTGCTTTTGGATATTTTGCACGTAAAATTTTTGTCTAGGTCCTATAATGAGAGTTAAAATTTCCTGTGAAGCTCTCACAATAGACATTGTGTAAAAAAATTTGGTCCCTTGAACTTTCTTTTTTATGACAGTATGATTAGTTTTCTGGTATCTCTAAAAGAAATCATGAATGAAGCCTAGTTTCCCACCTTTAAATCTCTGAGTGTCTACAAATGGCGAGGGATGGAAGCATTGTGGTTGACAAAGGTCTTAAGTGTTTATGCAGAGTAATGTGAAATTAATTGAACTCCAAATGCCTGGGCAGGGAAGTTGGAACCCAATTTGCAGCTTTTGGCTTTATTAGTAATTAGCATTTTATATATATTTTGTATGCATTCACTGTTTTTGTTGTTTTTTATGGTGCATGTTGTAGCTCATGGGGAGATTTCCTTTTGGACACCATTTCGGGGCTTGTGTTTGATACTGCAAAGGAAGACGTGGAGTTCCGGGCTGGCATACCCCGGCAGCTGCTCCTGGTAAGGAGTAAAGGCAGGTGGGAATGATGGGTGTTAGCTGCAGCCCCGGCCAGCTGAAGCCCCACCTCCTACGGACCCTAGGATCCTTCTTCCCAGATGGGTCAAGCTTGTCTCCTGTGTTGTCCTGCTGAGCTGTGGGATTTGCAGGATGAATGGAGTGCTGCTTGTTATGTGGCATCCAAAGAACTGCAGGTGTTATGCACATGGCTGTCTGTATTTCACAGGTGCAGTAGCAGGCATTATGGGAATGTTGGCTGAATAATGGTTGAATAAATAATATGGCCAGGAGACCTGTAGATTCAGCACACAACTTACTAGTAAGACCGTGCTCAGCCAGTGAGCACTGTGAGTGCACCGGTTATCCCTATATAGGATCCGAATCCGCGGCGGGAGCGCTGCTGCGCTCTCAGCGCCACACTTTCCCGAGTGCGCCACAGGCTCGGCCCTATTTGGTTAGTTTTGAGAAGATGAGTGAATTAGTGCTGAGTGGAGCAAAGGTTGCTTTCACAGTCTGGAGCAGTCACCCTAGGACAGTGACTTCCTTTCCAACAGGCATAGCCCAGGCTGTACTATATTTCCGAGGATCCCTCTCACCAGGCAAAATCCTTTTTTTTTTTTTTGCAAATAATAGGCACCACAAGATGAACAATGTTACAAGAAAGTAATGGGATATTGTTCCTAAGGGCTCAGGTTGTCCCTTCCCCACTCACCTCCCTCCTTGGAATGACATGGATTTATCTTGGTTGGTGGTTACGCATACTACTGTGGGGACTGACCTGGGCAGTAAGAGTTTTGCTGGGGTCTGGACAAGGACTCACTTCTGTGTTTCTAGCAGGAAGAAACTACAACTGTTGCAACAAGAAGATTGAGTGGCTTTCTGAGGACGCTTGCAGACCGGCTAGAGGGCACCAAACAACTGCTTTCATCAGATATGAAGAAGGATTTTGTTATACACAGACTCCCCCCATACTATGTGGGAGATGGAGCAGAGCTATCTACACCAGGTAGAGCTTGCTTCTTTCTTCTAGGTGGTTAGAAACTAATGTGGGATATTTGAGCTTTCCTGGGTAGGCTCCTCTTTGAGTAGATAGAAAGTATGAAACATTTTAATATGAACGTGGACTAAGATCTATCCTTTGTGTGTATTGTTCTACTTGAACATTGAAATAGTCTTGTTGGAATTAACGCAGGGATGGGTGAAATGTGGCCATCAGCAGGTGAAATACAAGAATGCTCAAGGTTGTCACTGACCTTCCCCAGGTCAAAGGAGTCTAATTTATGACAGATTTAGGCTGCAAATGACATGTCACACTTCTGGATGTATGTATGTCATTATCCTGTGGCAAAGACCACTGGGAACATGTTCCTGAACTCAGACAAAGTTGTATTTATTGACTTGCTGCAATGGGGAAGACTGCACACTGTTGGAAACTGTGGTACATCTCAGTAAAAGTGTGCTAGAAAAGATTTATAGGATTTGGGCTTGAGTTAGGTAATTTTAGAGAGGGTGCAAGGAAGCAGAGCATTGCTCTGGATTGAAGCTGTCAGGAAATAGGAGGGATTCTATGATTGGGTCTCTTCTAAATCTTGTCTAGTAGACAGGAGGGATGTATGAAGCTAAAGTTATCATTGGTAAAGCAGCAGCAGTCACTCATATTAGCCCTCATAGGAGAAGTTTGTCATTGTTGTGGTTTGGACAATGTTCTTATTTTTGCTTGAGTTTGGACATGAAGATGGAGTGGTGTTGGTTTTGTCTTTAAACATCATGGTCACAGAGTGGTCTTGTCTGATGTTAGTGTTCTGTGAAATGGTCTGTGTTCAACAGGAGAACACCAAGACTTACCTATGACTGCCAGGCCAGCTCTCAGGCTGTTTTTCTCCGTGGGGTTGAGTGAGAAGAGTATTTTTACTAAGTCTTATTCATCACTAGCTGAGAGCCACTGAAGTAGATAAACTATAATGTCTCTTCTAACACTGCTTCTATATACATTTTTATTCCAGTCTTTGGAGGGTTTAAAATTTGTTTTCGATTGAATCTATTCAAAATAGCAAATGTTTTATCAGCACATTTTAATCTTTAGCAGAACAGTTTGCTGAGTACTAGCTTATAGCCAGGATATTTTGTCTAATGTTTTTCTTGTCTTAACCATTATATTCAATAAAGTTATGATCCCTCAAGACTCTTTCCCCACCCAGATGACCCAGTAAGGCTAGCCTGTTTTAAGTGGCTGTTTCTTTACTAAGTTAAACCCAGTTTAGAAAAGAGTAGATTGTTTTTTCTATGAACTTTATTAGATGGCTTTTATAGGACACTGTGCTTGAATGATATAGACTGAATATTTTGCCAGGGTCACACAAGTAGTAATTGGTGGGGTGGTGCAGTTTGAACTCAGGTAGTCTTTCCAGCATCCACATGTAGAGCAAGAAGCTTGTTTCATGCAGAAGGCACCATGACCCTACCTATTGTGACAGCTACTGTGCTTTGATGGTATTATTTATATTTATCTCATGTACTTAACTTACATTGTTATTTATCTTATTGTCTGTCTTCAATATAAGAATGAGCTCCATAAGGATGTAAACTATAGTTTTAATATTGTAAGGTAAACTAATACTTGAGTGGGAGAGGGTGCTCGTGTTTGGATTTACCTGCAAATTGCTAATAAATGTGTTTTCTAAATAATTGCACCTACCAACAAGTTTGAATCTGACGGTTTCCTTTTCTGAATGCTGGCTTTCTTTCCTTGGGGTTTTCTAGGTGGAAAGTTACCAAGGTTGGACAGCATAGTGAGACTGCAGTTTAAAGATCACATCGTCCTCACGGTAGGGCTGGATCAGGATCGAACTGTGAGTATCCAGAGGGGAGATTGCCTCTCTTCTTGGGATTTTATCACAGGCCTCAGGTTATCAGATTAACCACTGGGCCCTGCCCTTCTCATTTGAGAATCTATCTGTGTTCACAGTTTAATGTCATCTTTTCAGGTCATATAATGCCTAAATTTCACTGTTCCGGTTCCAAATTTTCCTGCCTATTAGGCATTTGTGGGCCTGCCCTCATCCCCAGAGAACCCTCCTTCATTTTCCGTATGTAGGTATTAATTTCTAGTCTTTGCTGTTGCTGGGGCAACTGCACACCCTGTTCATGAGTCTCCCTACCTCAGTCCCTCTCCAGTTTCTACACTGTGCAGATCTTTATATGTGGTTTTGTTGATGGTTCTTCTCCTTCAGCTTTATCCTGTAGATCATGGAGAACAAAATCTACATTCTGCCACCTTGCCATCTAGCCCAGCTATTCCAAGAACTGGCTGATTATGGAATCAGCTGGAAAGCTTTTTAAAATTATAAATTCCTGGCTTCATCTGGTCTGCGTTGGAGCCTCTGTACCTATGTTTTTATAAGACTGCCTATACAATCCTGAGGACCTTGGGAACTATCCCATACCCTATGGTTTCACCTTGTTTCTCCTAATCAACTCTTTTGGCAGATACTCCATAGATGATTGAAAGGGATTAGAGGGGCACTTATATGTCTCCATAACCAGCTTGTGCCAGCCATCAGGGCCGGACCAGGAGAGGACTGGTGTACTATATATATAAAACCTCAAAAATACACACTCCCACATCCTTATAAAAAACAAATATCTTAGTTATTCTGATAACCAGTCAGTTTGACCCTCTGTGTCAAGCCAGGGTTTTTGGCCCTTATCTGAGAGGTGACAAGGAATGACTAAAGACTCTGGAAGAGATGATAAACTGTATTGTGTAGGGTGAGGAGTGAAGGGAAGAAACCATTTAGGAGGCTACTGTAATTGGAATAGTTTTTTACGGATCACACAGCTGGTATTTCTCTAGTTAATCATTCCATGGTGTTCATAATTTGTCAGTTTATACCTAGGAATGTCAAAATTTGTGATGCAGAAAAGACAGTGCAGGTAAGATTAAAAGAAGAAACTCAGTGTTTCGTTGATTTGTTGATATATAAATGGTTACTTTTTCATTATAAATCAAGTTCTTGAAGATGCTCTACCAGGTAGCACTCTAGCTGTTTTAGCTTTTAAAAAATGACTTAGAGTGTCCATTAATTGATGCTAATGAACATAGTGTGTATGTACACACAAACCCCAAAACTTTTTTGCCAAAAAGATTCTTTATTCGGATTTTACTTGAGGACCAAGGCTTTAAGATTTCTCTTGGTGTTGGACTATTGGAAAATCCTCATACTGTTGAAGACCTCAATATTTTGTTGATGACTTTTTTTTAAAGGATGAAATGCAAGAAAAGATGGTTTACATCTATCATTCCTTAAAGAACAGGAGAGAGAGACATATGATGGGAAACGAGGAGGAAACAGAGGTTTGTTTCTGTGATTTGGGTGGTAGCTGAGAAGAATTGATTACTTTTGATTTATAGGTAGATGTGCTGTTTATGGCTGCATGTGGACTTAACATTTCACATGATTGACAGAGCCCTTGCATGAGGATGATTAAGTCAGACAATTCTGTGACACACATACACCAGTTTTAACACATACTAGCTAGGACCTGTAGCCTTATAGGATATAGTAAGTCTGAAGCATTTCAAATAACTGATATCACTTATTACATAAATTAGAATGCCTTTCATGGATTCTTAGCTTTTATATGGGAGTTGGCAAGTTTTATAAGTTATCTAATTATAGTTTATGGAAATAGCTTCATACTTGTGAAGGGTATCAAAAATAATGATGGATTGGATTGTGGAAGTTTATATGAAAATGCCACTTCAATGACATTAAGTAGTATATTTTTGACTAAATTTATTCTTTTTTCAGTCTCATGGACTTCGCTTTCCTTTCTCACATATGGATGCACTGCAGCAAATTTGGAACAGTTCGGCTATTTCTGTCAAGGACCTGAAACTTACTACAGACGAGGAAAAGGAAAGCTTGGTATTATCCCTCTGGACAGAATGTTTAATTCAAGTAATCTAGTGCCTTTGCAGAATCAAATATCTACTATTTTGTGTGCACATGTTAAGAGAAAAGTGAAGATTTAAGTGTTCGGTAGCCCCTCTTGTTTTGAGTCAATGTACTGGGTAGGAGGAATAGCTACACACATAAACCAAGGAAAATTCAAAGTTCCTTACCTGTATATCCACTAACATGAGACTCACCTGTTATAGGGTCCATATATACTAACAGGAAGAAAGAACGGCATACCACTAAGTATCCCAAAAAGTGACCACCCCATACTTTTAACAAGTTTATTTAATTCAGTGTGGTAGGAAAGGCACAAACTCCAATAAATCATTTAGAATTAAATGTTGTTAACCTGGCTTTATCTTTGTTCTTTGGAAGAAACAAGTTCTTTAGAGAGCTTCCTTGGCTCTAGAAAAATTTTATAAACAGTTAACATGAAGAAGAAAAATTTTTAACTTGGTTTTTTACAGTGAAAATATACATATCTTTGTGTATACATAGACCCCACCCCCATTAAAATAAAGTTATCCCTGTAACATAAGTTTCATTAAATAATACTGCCACTCCAATGAGGAACATTCAACATCTATGGACAGCAGGGAGTTTTACAGATGCTGCTTAAAATATGACAAGAGAAGAACCTGAGATTGGAGGGAAAAAAACCCCCAAATATTTACATGGAAAGACCAAGTCTATAAAAAATACTCAAAATAGTAGGTCTTTAAGTTTAAACTATTCACTGTCATTTTACATTCTAAAGTGCATATAAGTTGATATTTTAAATATCACTGGAGAATTTAACATTTCTATCTAAAACTAGAGCATTTCCTTGCTCTCTGACAAAAGTTGGGGATGAAAGGAACAGTTGTCTTGATGTAAGTTTAAATCCAACTCAGGAAGGACAATGCTTGTTAATTGTGCAGTTAAAGATGGTAAAGATTACTGGAAACTAAGTCAAAGATGATGTCCTACCTGATTTTGCTTAAATGAATGCAAGTGAAAAACTGAGTTTTCTATCATTTGGTAGAGAAATCAACTCCATCTTTATTTGCAAAGTAAGATGGTAAGGTCAGGGCTCAAATACTACTTCATTTTAATTTGAAGATTTGAGATTTCCCTTTGCTTCAGGCAGACAGTATAAGAGTAGGCAATTTTTTCTTTAAGTGACATAGTCTTTATAAACACTTACTTCTCCTTGAGGACAGATCAGGCAAAATTTAGGGTGAGGTCTCAGCACCAGGGTAGGTAACCAGTCTTTTCGCCTAAAGGGATGTCTTTGTTAACAGAGTGCAAGATTGGCCATAGGTTATTTGTACTTTTTTAGTTTAAAGGACTGAGGAAAGAATAGAAAGAGAAAATACTCCCAGTATTTGTGCTTTTTTCCTAACAAAGCTGAGGTCCCTCTCTTGAGTCAGTTACAAGTATAAATACTTATGGGGTGCTTCAGTTAGTTAGAAAAGCCTCAGTACAGAAACTTTAAGGTTTATCTAAATAGCAGCTTATTAAGGTTAATTAAATACGTTTTTCAGGTATTGCTAAAAATTACTCATCTTTTTGCAAAAGTTTGACTTGACCTATAGGAATTTTTCCCCTGTGCTTTGCACACATACAAGCATCTAGTAGGATATTAATAATATAATATTACGGATAATAATACGGGGTGGGTGACCAGTGTCCTGTAATGGGCTATCAGGAATAGGATTCATGTGGTAGATAGGAAAATACAGACTTCAGCAAACTTGCTCACCATAACTAGAGATCAATCAGGAATAGAACCTTTCCCAGAAATCATAACATTGTCTTCATAGGAACATGGAATAACTGGCAAGAATATTTTGAGCTTTTCCATTGTTAACAGCAGTCGTCTTGGAGCTTGGGGAAGAAGTTCATTCTGCTCAGTGATCCAGGACTGGAGGACAGTAGCTTCCTTTGCTCTTCCTATGGGTGCTGTTGATTCTCTCACAATATTTCAATGTCCCATTTCTGTGTTTCTTCTCCCTCTACGGGCTGATTTACAATTACATAAGTTTTGTCACAATAATTTCCTCCTAAAATAGGAATCCCAAAAGAAATGATTATTTGCTCATTGAGGTGCTTAGCGATTTCACTATTTTCACAAGCTTTTGTTCAGCCCACTGGATAGATAAATATGTCATTTACAAATTGGTCTGCAATGGGAAACAGTTTGAACAGAGTTAGTCATTATTCACTTCAAACTGGACTTTATTATGGCTCAAACTGAAAAACTAAAAGGTGTGATACATGATTTGTGTAAGCAGTGTGGCCCAGAAATAAGACACTTTGGAACAAAGTGCCGAGAACTCTGGCTGAATGTCAGGTACTGTTACTCTGTTTTTGTTTCTACACCAACAGTAGCTGTGACTAACCCAGTTAAAGCAACAGCCATGAATAATACTGCCCCTGACCTTGCTGCATTCAAGAACAAGGTTAATTGATATCTACCATAAATCTTAGGGGGCTTTTACAGACCATGGCAATTCATGGCAAAAAGTTAGATGTTTCTAAGAAATAGATGACATTTATTTTATGGTTTATGATGGTTCAAATTGAGAATCGTTCTCAGAGTTCATGTGGCAAAAATTTTACAACTGTACAAATCAACGAAAACCTTCTTAGACTTTGTTGTTAGGCTTTTTCTACTAGATCCATATAGCTAATTGTTCTGTTTATAAAACTGCATATCTTTACTTTTTTTAAGCATAATTAAAAATGACTTAACATTTCTTTATAATAAGGATGTCCTTTACCCAGAAGAAGGAAGTTTGAAACTTAAACTGATATCCAGGAACACAAAACATTGCGAATTATTAAAGGCTCACCTTTAACATCAAGGACAAGTTTGTCACTGAGATAAGAGCTGATGGTTCCGTTTTTATTCAGTCTCCACTTCTGCCTGAATTGCCCATGTTCAGTCCATAGGGCTACTTTAGCTCCAGGTGTGTCCCGGCCACCAATCACATCAAGGCACATATCATTGGCCTAAAAGTGTTAAGAAATAAGTTACTTTGCCAAAATAAAGTTGGGTACCTTTTCTTTCAGGTGAACAAATCATAGACTGATTTATGGTGTTTCTTATCTAAAAAGAATACTATATTGCATAATTATAATTTCAGTAAATTTTTTTTTTAAATTGTCTTTATGGCTGAGGGGAGGAAATGGTACAGAAATAAATACTGAAACAGAGGTACTTGTTTTTAATAGGATGTCTGCATCTGACAACAGATATTCAATAAAGGTTTGTTGGATTGAAATTAAATGTTAAGTCCATGTTAGCTTAAAATGTATTATATTAAGCTTGGTTTTCTTATAAAAACATCAGGTGATGTACTAAAGACATCCATACAATAATTACTTTTCAACGCCTTTCATTTTTGAAGCATGAGAAAAAGTAGATAATCCACTGGGGAAACACGGTTTTAATGTTTTCAAACTAGTGCTCCATTCTGCATAGCATCAAACATAATGGAAGAGTCACATAAAAAATAAACCTGAATTTTATTTTCTAAGCTTCCTTCAATAACAGCTTCTTTCTTTTACTATTTCTTCATTATATATCTTGAAAATGAAAGGGTTTTAACGTGTTTGGAATTACACAGTTGATTTTATCTGGACCATCAAGTAAGGAAGATCTCATGAAAGCACTTGCCCATTTGGGACCTAGTGACTTACATCATTGATTTAAAAAAATCATTTAGGCATATCAGTAGTATGTGATAACCTTAGTTTTTAC